GAAAAAACATGAAAATATGTGTTTTTAAGAAGATAATGTTTAAGAATACTTTTAATTTTATTTTTCAAAGGTGTAGCAGCAGATTCAAACATCATTGGGAGATCAAATTATTATTATTATTATTTTTTTTTTTTGGGGGGGGGGTTTAATTTGGTTGGAGGGGGCATGACTTTATGACTTCTTTTTCAAGGGGATATAGGGAAAAATAACAACCGATGATAAAAGAGGAAGGGGTCAAAAATTGGCTAAAAATGAAAACATCCTTTACGGATGGCTCCAAAACTATTTATTTATTACTATTGTAATAAACATCTTTTATACGTGAAAATGATATATCTGTACCAGTTTTATATATTTTAATGCATTTGTATGCAACATAATAAAAACTAACTAAAAAAATGTAAGATAAATGCAAAAGGAAACTTGACGCATCAAGGTTTATTTTGCCACAAACTGACGTCAATGCGCAAAATCTTTTTGGCTTAACTTTTAGATTAACGTTTAATAATGTTCTTTAGTTCTTAATAAGAATGAATTTTTTTTAATGACTATGATTTAGTGCTCTAAGATCTTCTTAGTTCCATTTGTATAAAGTTACATACAAACGTCTGTAAGTGTAAATGTCTTTAGCATATGTTAAGTTTCCAGGCATTATTCGGAATAATTGCGTCTATCTTTATACCTACAAAATGAGAAAACTTTAAAATTTTATTTAAAAAATTTTTTATCCTACATATTATCTTATATATCTATAAAATGAGAAAACTTTAACTTTTATTTTAAATTTTAGAAATCTTTTTTGCTATATTTTTATTTTTTTGCTTCAAATAAATAAGCAAGATTGAAAAAATTTCAAAACTTATTACGCTAAGAGGAGGTCTTAAACCCTCCAAAACAACACTGATGACAGAGCACTTAATCACTGAGCTATCAATGAAATACATTTAGCAGAAAAACAAAGCTAATTATAAGTATCTTATAAGCTCTACGTATGCGAAAAAGGTGCGGTTTGTTTAGTTTTTTGCTCTTAAATTTTTTTTCAGAATAAATTATTTTACTAAAAAATATTGAAGTAAATAAGGGAAATTTTCGGCTAGAAATAGATATGTAAATTGGTAAAGACCTGTATTTTACGGATCCGGAAAGCTAAAATATAAAAGGAAAAAGTATAGAAAAGTTCGGTTTGGAATAGATATACAAAGACCCGTGATTTTACGGGGCCGATCTCAGCTAATATATATATATATATATATATATATATATATATATATATATATATTATAAAATAAATGAATATCCTTTGCAACAAATGTATACCCGTAGGCGTTGTATAAATAATAAAACGCCGTGGCGATTAACCCACGACCTCATAAAATAAACACACAACCATAGTCATCTCAAAATGGCTAGAGTCACACAATACTTCATTTTTAATTATGGTTGAAGGCCCATGTTTTATTTGTAATTTTAATATGTTATCAGGACCGAAAATTCACTATCTTCTCATATAGTGGATGTTAAGTCTTGATTATTATTATTGCTTATTGCATCATTTATTTAAAACATTTGATGAAATATTTCAATGTTATTTTCTCTGGAGTACGTTCATATTGTATTTTCTAGATATATTTAAACTCTTTTAATATATTTTAGTTTCTTTTAGTGTGGAATTTCTACCTCTGCTTTGTTTGTAATAATACGAGTTAGAGTTATTTAATTTCATAAATTATTCTTAAGCATCACTATTCAGCTCTCGCCTTGTTAGATTTTGCTTCTTTTATTTCTAATATACATTTCATTCTGCTTAGACATTAGTTTTTTGTGCATCAAGAATGCCTAAACCCTCCTTTATTTACAGGTAATTTAACAATGTCTCTTTTTTTGGATTTAGCGTTCAAACGCTGCTATTTGTAGATCAAGATTTCCTTGTCAATTTTCTTAAGATCGATGTTTGATATAGGAAAGACGTTTGCGACACACCAGACAGGAGTGAAAGAGCGAACGTGTTAACAAATATTTCTTTGCTATTTAAAAATATATTTCAGTATTTAAAATTTGGAATTTATTTTTGAAAGTTTTTGATCGCCTTATGAAATTTCATCCTGCTAAATCTGTGTAGAATATTATTGCTAGTAATTTTATTCCTATTTAGATTGACCTTTTAATTTTTTTTTAAGAGCTATTATTGTGTTCTCGTAGCCTAAGTAATTAAAGCCACCTAAGGCTAGAGCTTTTGTATTGTTTATGTTAATATTAGAGCCGGATACGTGTTTGAAGGAATCTATTATTTTGAATTCTTATGATCAGAGGCTTCTAACAAAGAGAGTCGTGTCATTTACATATTAAGAGACATTTTAATTTAATTTACTGGAAGCCCCTCTCAATTTTAAAAGAGTTACACAATTATTTATTGTTAGTGACAAACAATTATTTATTGTTAGTGACAAACAATTATTTATTGTTAGTGACAAACAATTATTTATTGTTAGTGACAATTAAGCCTTAATCAGAGTTTTATTGAAAGTTGATGACATTAAATTTTGATGAACAAAGTTGATGCTTACATTAAATTTTGATGAACAAAGTTGATGCTTACATTAAATTTTGATGAACAAAGTTGATGCTTACATTAAATTTTGATGAACAAAGTTGATGCTTACATTAAATTTTGATGAACAAAGTTGATGCTTACATTAAATTTTGATGAACAAAGTTGATGCTTACATTAAATTTTGATGAACAAAGTTGATGCTTACATTAAATTTTGATGAACAAAGTTGATGCTTACATTAAATTTTGATGAACAAAGTTGATGCTTACATTAAATTTTGATGAACAAAGTTGATGCTTACATTAAATTTTGATGAACAAAGTTGATGCTTACATTAAATTTTGATGAACAAAGTTGATGCTTACATTAAATTTTGATGAACAAAGTTGATGCTTACATTAAATTTTGATGAACAAAGTTGATGCTTACATTAAATTTGTTCAGAACTTTGAACAAAAAAGCTCAAATATCAATTTTGTCATAAGCTTTTTTTTGATCAAATGTGATCAAACATTTTCTGATATATTTTCGTTTGTGTAATGAGTTATGCCTTCTGCAAGTAAAATATTTAAAACTATATTTCTTTCGGACACAGTGCACGTTTACGAGGGCCCGAGTAAAAATTGTTATACTTTAAAGATTCATGACGCAAACGCTTTGGTTGCAACTTTGTAATCGGCACTTAAAAGTGAAATTGGTTGCCAGTTAAGCATCCAAATCAATCAAGATTTTTTTGGCAAAAACTAATTAGAGCAGTATTTTACAATCAGGTCAGTTTTAATCTGGATTAAAAAAATATCATAAGGCACGGCAGCGAGCACCTCGCCGCAGACATCCAAGTTTTTTTGGCATAGTTCAACTGAAAAACCGTCCATACCGGTCGTTTTACCATTACTTAACGGATTTGCTACGTTAAATAATTATCGGCTAAAGAATTTTATATTTAGAAAGCCATTTTTTTTTTTAATTTAAAGCATTTTTTTATATTTGAAAGAAAAGACTCTTGCTTTCAAATATAAAAAATCTTGCTTATACAATATATGCGCATCCCAATGAAATGTAGGATTTAATACAAATATTATAATAGAACTAATATATAATATAAATAGAACTAATAACATTAGCTATAAGTTACTTAATTTAACTAGAATAAGAACGATCTTTGCCATTTTATAACAACTGCAATTTATGATTAGATATAAACAAACAAAATGATTGACATTTTATATGCAATTTTACTTGTATGTTTACTAAACCTTAAAAAAGAAAAAGCATGACCAAGTAAGACTAAAACGAAACGTAAGGCGACAAAGATTATAAAATGTCTTTATAATTCTTTTAATTATTGATTTGTTTATTTAAACCCTTTGGAGTTCTATAAAACAATTTCTCGTGATTTTGTAGAATAGTTACTGTTAAAAATTCAATAAAGCCCCCCAAAAAAATGTATAACCTAAATAATTTTAAATAAATAAAACTTAACGAAAATTGTTTAGATTATACATTTTCTAAAAAACTTTGCTTACGCATGCGTACAACTATGTGAAAATATTAATACTAACACGCTAATGCGCTAACGTAGCTATCAATATTGGCCAATATGAGCATGCCAGTACAGCCCCAACATTAGCATTCTGATATTAAACAAACATTGTTGGAACAATATTGACATCGTAATATTTAATGACATACGTATGCCAATATTAGCGCAATATCGCATATCTTGGCTGATATTGGCCAAGACTTTTTTTTTTTGTATGTATTGAGGTGCTCCCAGAAGTCCTTATGGTCTTATCATAGAGCACTGCGGGAGAGCATTTAACAGGAAGTTCACGCCTCCTCCCGTACCAATGTCGCTTGTTGGGCTAGAGCTGGCGTCAAACCTCGGACCTCTGGGTTCTAAGCCAGTACTCTAACCACTGCGCCACGGCTGCTCAAAGATACCCAATATTGCACCATTATTGCACCAATACTTTATGCTACCAGGGAAATTGAACTGAAAAAAATTATCTATATATGAATCTAGTTTCAAAGAAATACTATTTTTTCATGAATTAAAAATGGTATCTCTTTGTTAAGGCCTTTTTTTCATATCTAATATATGTCTAAAATATATGTATCTGCGATAGATACAAAGTAGAGCAATCTTAGATGATCTAAAAGACGTCTTTTGCCTACTGGGTTGCTGTTACCCTGACATGGGTCGGGTTGGGTATTTTAAACTCATTGTAAACAAAACCTTTACAAAAACCGCTTAGACATTTAGTTAAAATCTAACTCTCTTAATTTACATTATAAGATCAAAATTAAACTGAACATCAGTTGAAATACTTAAATTAAATGCTTAATAAATGCTTAATAATTTGTTTTTAACTTATTTAACATGCAAGTTTAAACTATTTTTACCTCTTAAATAAAGTGTATGTGTACCCATTTATTTCTTTATTAGGTAGTGCAAGGTACAATGACAAAAATTGGACAAATTCTGTGTATGATTTCATATAAGCATTTTATTATCGTTGGAACGAAGGAACGTCGTGTAGCTTTATACGACGCACAAGAAAAGTGTTTTAAACATAAGTTAGCGCAATTCTCTGATTCTATATTATGTATATTACACGCACATGGATTTAATTTATTTTTATTTGGACTAGCAGATGGGAATATTGCAATACTTAATTTTGATGATGTTTTAAATCCAGGTATAATTATTTAACTGGTATTTTTCAATCTTATCACAGCAAAATGTATATTAGTATGTTATTCACTTTTAGACGGGAATCCTCGATACATATCTTTGAATGATAAAATAAGTCAAAATCCAATTACCTGTATGACTCAAAGTCAAGACAAGCTTATATGTGGCTATGGTAAAGATATTAAAGTATTAAATTTGTCCACTTTTGATTTGTTGCAAACAGTTTCTGCTACATGCCAAATTGCAGTGTCTGCAATAATTGTGTTTCAAAATCGTTTAATCGTAAGCTCCGAAAAAGATTACAAGATTTCGGTTTATAAATATACAGGTAATAGAGTTGATGAAATTGTTTTGTTTGAATTTGATTGTTCCAAGTTTTTAAAAAAGTTTTATCCAAGTATTATCGAAAGCGATTGTTACGTAAATACCTTTGAATTAGTGGATAATTCGTCCTTATGGATTGGTTGCGGCGGAGGCCATATAATTATTGTTAACGTTTTAAAGTCCTTTTTCCGAGATGCTACTATTATTTCGAGACATTTGGGTGCTGTACGCTCTATTATTTCGACACCAAAAATTAGTGGAGAGTCAGTCTCTGTAATAACGGGTGGTCAAGGATTCCGACCACTTTTAGCAATTAACAATAATGTTGAAGAATGTGGATATATTTTACTATGGGATTCCAACATTTTTAGATTAAAAAACCATTTAACAGCAGAAAGAAAAAATCGCGATGAGTTACTTACTAAACTCTCAGTTAAAACGGAAAAGTTTGCGTTTCCCTTACTGTGATTCTAAGCAGTCAATTGGAAATTTGTTATATTTAAACAAACTCCATAATATTTTATGTACATATATAATAATTATTCGGTTTAAAAATATAACGTAATACAATTAGAAGTAAAAGTGTGTTTATAAATTATAATAAAAACAATTTTAAGAGGCGCCAATCACGGTCAGGGTGGAAGATAATTTAGGATTTTTAATTAATCGTGTAACAATTAATTTTTTAAAGATTTATCAATTAACTTTTTATTATTTATTAAAATAATTTTTTTACAATTTTCAAGACTAGTATTTTAAAAATTAGGCAGTGTTTCCTGTCCTGTGTTACACACTCGCTCAGCCTTCAATATTTTATTAAAGCTACTCTTGCTCCTACTTTTTTAAAACAGTGCTTTAAAAAGACCCAATAAATACAGAACTAAATAAGCACAAACGAAATGTTTACTCGTAACACTATTATTTTTTCAGAGTTGTTATTGGTTAGTCTGCTGAGCAAACAAAAAAGTTTTATGCAATTACATTGTCTACATTATGTTATTTAAGTGTTTGCAATAGGGGTCGGCAACCCGCGGCTCGCAAGACTCGTGTGGTTCTTTCGATGTTAAGATGTAACTCGTTACCTCCACGGACAAGTATTATTATAATACTGAAATAAAGAGGTTGGAAGCTATTTAAAAACAAAAAAGCTTTGTAATTTGTAACTTTTGGCTCATCCATCTCAAAAGGTTGTCTACCCCAGATTTATGCATTTTGCTAAATGCATTTTTTGTTATACTAGACTCTATTAGAAATAATTGGCTTTCACTGTGAAACAGAATTAGATCTGAAGTTAATGTGAGTAGATTGCCTCATTCATAGATTCCGACTACATACTGCAATTGTGATAAATATTAAACACCATCATTGAATTAATTAATTCAGGGAGGGGTTTAAAGTAATTTTATAGAGGGTTCTCTGGAAGTTTGACAAGTTGTTGACAAGAAGCAGGGGGAGGTAAAAATTGCCAAATCAATTTTGACGTATTTAATGGAAAGTCCCATAGAGCTTGGCCTTTTTTAAGCCCTTTTAAGTATTGTTATTTGACGTAGTACTGTTCGAAACTTTGGCGTTAACTTACAAGTTAGTCCTTTAAGTTATTCTTGTTGTTTGTTTTACATTACATATGGATTCAAACTCAGATGCTGCATTTACTAGTTAAGTTTTATTTAGGTTAACTACGTTTAAAATACGTTTTATATACATTTTATAATAAGTTTAGAAAAACAACTTACATATTCTTGTCTTGTTGTTTAAGTACTTTCATCTTTTTGGGCTATTTGAAAAGATTATTTGTTAATTCTAAATTTGATTTATAATCATCTAAATAAACACCATAAAAAAACGACAGACCACCAAAAAATTTATAAATTTTTTTTTTAGTAAGTAGCTTGAATAAAGATTGTATTTTGTTTTCTAAGATTTTGTTATAAAAACAAAATAATTTTACAAGACCTTTATCAAATCACATTATATGGTCACAGTCTTCTTTTTCCAATCCCTTAACATTTAACACTACAGGTTCAAGAATCTGATAAATATCAGAGATGCAGTTTATTTCTGCATCTCTTTTTGCTCTGTAAAACGTTTTTATAGTTTTATGACAGAACACCGCAGAAGAGCATACTTGTAAGTTCACGTCTTTTTCCTTATTAATTTTGCAAAAGTGGCAGCAGCTGAAATCGGACCTCTTGATTCTGAAGTTGCACAAAGGTTGCCCAAATATAATAACAATATACCGAGATGCTTATTGGCAAGAGCATTTTCCATAACATTTTTTTATTTTTAAGAAATGTTTTAACATTTTGATTACAGAATTCTTTTTTTAACATCCAGAATGTTCCTGAGCTTATTTTCGTAATTATTATCGAGTAACAAATTCCATAGAACTCAAGTTCTATGGAATTTGTTACTCGATGGGTACTTATGGGGGTGTTTTTAAAAATGAAAAGTTAATAGAACCAATGTGTGGTGTTTCACGGTATCTCTTTTAGGAGCACTATTGTTTCTAGTTTATATAAATGGTATAAACACTGTTTCCAATATTATGAGTACTATGTTTGTTGACTATAGTAATTTTTTTCTGTCAAACAGTGACATTTATTAACTTTTTTCAAATATAAATGAAAAAGATAAACATATTTCAAACTGGTTTCATTTTAATAAATTAACCATAGAAATCAATAAAATAAAATGGCTTTGTTTATGCTCCTCGTTCACAAAATAATGACAAATAAATAAATATACTACATAGAAAAATAAATAGACTTTGAAAATCGATCCAGAAGAAATAATTTAAGAATAGAAGGACTAAATGAGTCTCCAGGAGAAAGATGGGACAATTGTGAAAAAAGCGGTAAAAGAAATCTTAAATAAGTAACTAAAAATATCAAATGAAATAGTCATATTAAGAGCTCATCGTATCGGTCAACGCAAAGAACATAAACCAAGAACAATAGTTCTAAAACTTTTAAATTTCCACAACAAAAACAGAATACTCAACTCGGTAAAACATATTAGAGGAACTGGCATTTACATAAAGGAAGACTTTACCCAAGAAACTATCAAACACCAAAGGAAGCTTTAGGAAAAAGTGCAAAATTACGTAGCAAAAGTAAATACGCCATTTGAAAATATAAAAAAAATGTTTAGCCGAGATTTAAGAGAAACGCACTATCAAAAAAAATTTTACGCAAAACGAATTCTATTTAAAAAATTTTAATTTAATTATGCAAACTTGTTTTTATTTGACGCTTTTAACATAAGAGATCGTCCATAAATTACGAAACGCTAAATATCACTAATAAATCAAACAAAAAAGAGCAAAATTTTTTTGGTGTTTTTATGCCAGTTTGCACTTATGCCAGTTTTTGCAACTGCTTTCACTTACGCCATTCGCACTCATGCCAGTTAGCACTTCTAAAATTCGCACTTATTCAGTCGTCCTCTAACGACTAACATAACAAAAGATTATGAAACGCTTAGCTTTAATGTCTTTGAAACCGCTTATAACTTTTCTTAAACAGTTTGTATGACGCAGACGCAAAAATATTTTAAGGAATTTATTTTGATTCGCAAAAACAAAAACTTTCAAAACGGAACTGGAAACTTTAAAAGATAATTTTACTGCAAAACACGCAAGTATTAAATAGTATCAAAAATAATCTTGATAAGCTAAAACAGTTTCTAATAGATTGCAATTAATTATTTAGAATGACCTATTTAACAGAAACATGGTGTTCTGATGAATCGTCTCAAACAAATTCAAATTTTCAAGTTCCTAATTATAAACTTATATCTTTTGAACGACAAACAAACAAATGGGATAAAGGGATTGGTACATAAACCCAAAACGATCAAGCAATTAAAATAAGAAAAGACCTCTCAATCAGTGACGGATCCAGGACTTTCTGATGTTTGAGATTGCTAACTTCCAGATATGGAGCAAATTCCAAACTTTTGTATGTTTACACTTATGTCAAATAATAAGGCTGAAGGATAATACAATGAAACATAAATTTTTTGATGAGTTTAAGTCTAATTGAGAATAGTACAAAATATATTTTATCAACTTGTTGCCCCTCACATTTAAGGTGGGGGGAGGGATGAATTAAAAGAGTTTCCCAGCCTCCTGCCACCGATATTTTATGCATAGCCTTATTATTTGATATGATGATCATGCGATAGCTAAATTTATTTTTGACAATAAGTTCCAGATATGTGTTCTTCTAATTATCAATAAACTCACACCTCTGTTTTTGCTATTGACAAATTCATCAAAACGGGTATATCACGACGGCCCTGTATCAGATCATTTTCTTATATTTTTTTCACTATCTCAAAATGCAAGAACAATCAGTTATTCTAAAACAAAAACTTTACAAAGGCAAAAACTTTACAAAACAAACTTATCTAAATACAAGGAAAATTTCAATAGTTTTTATACAAATATTAACCCTAACATGGCTTTCGAAATTTGATGTTCAAATAATTCTTTTGAGGCCTATATTAAAAATTGAGATAGCAGTTTAAATTTCAATGAGCTAAACTATAAAGAATTAGAAACTGTAAGAAACTCGCTAAAAATAAATAAGACTCTAGGCCTTAACGAGATTTGTAGCAATGTAGTTATAAATTTTTTCTCGATAATAAAAATACCCGTCTTTGAAAAATTTTAATATTCAATTCTTGTTGAATCTGTCCCGAATAAATTAAAAATAGTAAAAGATGTACGAATGTTAAAAACTAGGGATTCATTTACATTAAATAACTACAGACCTACCTCAATTTTTCCTGTGTTTTCAAAACTTTTAGTGTGTAATTTACAATAACAAAACATTATTTAAACAACAATTCGGTTTCCAAATGCAACACTCCACCGAACAGGCAATTTTATATTTTGTAAGTAACATAAATGATTCTTTTGAAAGTAAAAATTTTGTACTCGGAATCTAAAGCGTTCGGCTTAAAAAGATTAAAAATTACGGGCAGGGGTGCAAAAAGACTTCATGATGCCCGGGGTATATTATAACATAAATTACTGGATGCCCCTCCTACCTTCATCCTAACTACTACCAAAATAAAAATAATAAGAAAAATAAAGCCATTATTTCTAGTATTCACAAGATATATTAAAAGTTCTGTATTTAAGACAGCTTACGAATCAAACAATTAAACACAACAAAGAAAAAAATATTTCTGGATTTGGTATCAAGTTTTTCTGACGTTATACCATGACTTTACAAACTTTTCTAGCTTTTCTAGCTTCTTCAGTAATAATATCTAGCATGAATCTGCGCGTGAATCTCTTTTAAAGATTGCTGTGGTGTTTACTTGTTTAACGTAAGGAACCAGGCCTGACTTGATTGAATTTATAAACATAAGTAAAAGTGGTACACTGAAGCTTTTGCTGTATTTTTTCAATACAAACGGATGAATACCATCAATGCCAGTATCTTTGTTATTATCCAATTTAGCAAAGGAGTAATTCAATTATTAGTATTAAAAAATGCCTCAAAATTTGGTTGACATCAGGCATTAGTGCGAAGAGGAAAGTAAGGATTAACTTGGCCATTAATTGGTTT